GAAATGTTAGATGTTCTTACACAGTACCCCGAAAATGTACCTTTTATCTTGGATTCCGGAAAAATAGCAAGGCACGTCTTGTGCCTAGTCATTCCTGTGCCTTCAGTCTCTTAGATGTATGTTTTTTGTGTGAGAGCTATGACACTGCTGCCTCTAAATCCTGCTAGTCTTAAGAGTGAAGTCACTGTTGGTGAGAACGCTGTACCTAAGGACCTTCACTGCATGTATCTCCCTGCTTCTGCTTTATTCATTCTTTGGTTCTGAGATTTCTTCACCTGTGTTGCTGCAAGTGCACACAGACGCACACACCTGATTCCAGACTTGGTTCCATACGGCCTATTTAAATACTACTGAAACAGGAAATTGTTGAATCATCTTCAGCTGTTCCCTATGTCCTGAATCTGCATTTATTTCTGATTTCCCATTACTGACCTAGCTTGTCTCTGGATTCTTCTCTCCTTTGACCTCCTGTTGTGACCAAGCTTGATTCTGACCTTGGTTCATCTGTCTACTCATTGACCTTGGCTTGCTTTCCGATCATTATCCTGCCGATTACCTGTTGCTGACCTCAGCTTGTTGTATGACCCTGCTGCTATATGTTGTTGACCTTGGCTTGCCTCTTGACCACTCATCTGTCTTTGATCCTGCCTGATGCCTGGCTTTTTAATTGTCAGCCACTGGCCATCTTGAGCTCTGCCTCCAGCCTGTAGAGTTTCTGGTGTCCCTGTTAGCAGTTGTTCCAATCTGCTCCTCTATAGTATCTTCACTTGCTTCTCCAGTGATATTCTCAGTAGTCTAAAAGAGAACCTCTCTGCCAAGCTACCAAGTGATTGCCTGTGAAATGGACTCTCAACACAAAAGCCACCTTGTGCCCTTTCATTCACTGTAACCCTTTCCAGGCGTGTTTGGACCAGAGTTGTAAAGAAAGCCCTCTCGTCACTTCGGACTCTAACCAGGTATGTGATATACACTCACCAGACACTTTAAATGGTAAACCTGTTCAATTGCTTGGTAACACAAATTGCTAATCAGCCAATCACATGGCAGCAACTAGACGTGGTGAAGACAACTTGCTGAAGTTCAAACCGAGCATCGGAATGGGGAGAAAAGGGAATTTAACTGACTTTGAATGTGGCATGATTGTTGGTGCCAGATGGGCTGGTCTGAGTATTTAAAAAACTGCTGATCTACTGGGATTTATATGCACAACCATCTCTGTGGTTTACAAAGAGTGGTCCGAAAAAAGAGAAAATATCCAGTGAGTGGCAGTTGTTGATGCCTTGTTGATGTCAGAGGTCAGAGGAGAATGGGAAGATTGGTTTGATATGATAGAAAGGCAACAGTAACTTAAATAACCACTCGTTACAACCAAGGTATGCAGAATATAATCTCTGAATGCACAGCACGTTGAACTTGCAGCAGAAGTGTTACAGCAGTAGAAGGCCACACGGGGTAGCAAGGCCAGTGAGTGTAATTCCTCCAATAGTCCTCACATCACCAATCATTAGGGGGCAGCTATGATATGAGCTCATCTCTGATCAAAGCTCTGATCTTTTATGAATACAGTGCCTCCAGATAGGTAAGGTAAGCAAAAAGGCAAATTGACTGTTTGCTTTGCAAGGCAGTTTTCACTTAGCTTAGAGAATGAGGTAAAGTTTTGCTGACTTCCATCATCCAATCACTTGCAAGCAATATATATATATATATATATATATACAGTCATGGCCGAAATTGTTGGCACCCTTGATATTTCTCCAGGAAATCATGTATTTCTCACGAAACGTATTGCATTAAAACACATGTTTTGCTATACACATGTTTATTCCCTTTGTGTGTATTGGGACAAAACAAAAAAAGGGAGGAAAGAAAGCAAATTCGACATAATGTCACACAAACCTCCAAAAATGGGCTGGACAAAAGTATTGGCACCCTTTCACAACTGCGGATAAATAAGAATGTTACAAGCATGTGATGCTCCTGTAAACTCACCTGGGGCAAGTAACAGGTGTGTGGGCAATATAGAAATCACACCTGAAAGCAGAAAAAAGGAGAGACGTTCACTTAACCTTTGCATTGTGTGTCTGTCTGTGCCACACTAAGCATGGACAACAGAAAGAGGAGACGAGAACTGTCTGAGGACCTGAGAAACCAAAATTGTGGCAAAATATCAACAATCTCAAGGTTACAAGTCCATCTCCAGAGAACTAGATTTGCCTTTGTCCACAGTGCGCAACATTATCAAGAAGTTTGCAACCCATGGCACTGTAGCTAATCTCCCTGGTCGTGGACGGATGAGGAAAATTGATGAAAGATTGCAACGCAGAATAGTCCGGATGGTGGATAAGCAGCCCCAAACATGTTCCAAAGACATTCAAGCTGTCCTGCAGGCTCAGGGAGCATCAGTGTCAGCGCGAACTATCCGTCGACATTTAAATGAAATGAAACGCTATGGCAGGAGACCCAGGAGGACCCCACTGCTGACACAGAGACATAAAAAAGCAAGACTACAGTTTGCCAAAATGTACTTGAGTAAGCCAAAAGCCTTCTGGGAAAACGTCTTGTGGACAGATGAGACCAAGATAGAGCTTTTCGGTAAAGCACATCATTCTACTGTTTACCGAAAACGGAATGAGGCCTACAAAGAACAAAACACAGTACCTACGGTAAAATATGGTGGAGGTTCAATGATGTTTTGGGGTTGTTTTGCTGCCTCTGGCACTGGGTGCCTTGACTGTGTGCAAGGCATCATGAAATCTGAGGATTACCAAAGGATTTTGGGTCGCACTGTAGGGCCCAGTGTCAGAAAGCTGGGTTTGCGTCCAAGATCCTGGGTCTTCCAGCAGGACAATGACCCCAAACATACGTCAAAAAGCACTCAGAAATGGATGGCAAAGAAGCGCTGGAGAGTTCTGAAGTGGCCAGCAATGAGCCCAGATCTAAATCCCATTGAACACCTGTGGAGAGATCTTAAAATTGCTGTTGGGAAAAGGGTGTCCTTCCAATAAGAGAGACCTGGAGCTGTTTGCAAAGGAAGAGTGGTCCAAAATTCCGGGTGAGAGGTGTCAGAAGCTTATTGATGGTTATAGGAAGCGACTGATTTCAGTTATGTTTTCCAAAGGGTGTGCAACCAAATATTAAGTTAAGGGTGCCAATACTTTTGTCCAGCCCATTTTTTGGGGTTTTGTGTGACATTATGTCATATTTGCTTTTCTGCCTCTGTTTTATATTTGTTCCAATACATACAAAGGGAATAAACATGTGTATAGCAAAACATGTGTTAATGCAATACCTTTTTTGTGTGAAATACTTGATTTTCAGGAAAAATATCAAGGGTGCCAACAATTTCGGCCATGACTGTATATATATATAGTTTTCCTTGCACATGATTGGGTATTCACTGCAAAGTGAATTTTCATCACATTCACTAAGCAAAAGGAAAATTCACTTGCAAAGTTGAGTTATTTTGCCTAGGGTATATTAACCTCACGGTGTCGAATAAAGCATGGAAAGGCAGTATAGTCTAGGGAAAAGATCAGCAGAAGGGAGACCACAGACAATATCAGTGTTTTCCTCTGCTTGCCGTATTTAGACAAGGCTTCCACAGTTTAGACCCTTTTAAATATTATATGTAAGCGGGATTCAGTTTATCTTTTCAAGTAGACTAATAGAACAGGAAGCATTTTGCACTGGAATTATCTAATGCAGACAGACTTCCAGAGCATCATACAAATCATTTTAAAGACTTAGTAAGTGTATTTATATAAATTAAACTTTACACACTAAGCTAGAAAGAGCTAAACATATTTTGTTTGTCTCCACATTTTCTTGCCCTGAAAATGCATAATGCATTTATCAAGTGTGAAATTTTACGCTGCTATCTATAGAACACATGAAGCATCTGCCTTTCTGCTTAATGCAAATGTACATCTCATAATGTTCAAACCTGGTACAATTGCCAGTACTGGCAGTATCACCGGGTAATGGTCACTGTCTGGATAACTGTTTTTTGTGTTTGACACATTCACTATCTCTAGGAGGGATGAGCAGCACATTGATATTTCTCTTTTTTTCCTTTTTTTTTCCCCACACATAACAGCTTCTATCAGCTCTAACAGATGACTTTCCATTCATAACTGTGGCAGTAAATTCACATTTTGTCCTTGTTCGATAATTAATAGTGTCATGTCAACAGCAATGACAAACATTCTAGTACCTATTCTGCCTCTGTCATAAGATAGGCTATAGCTATGAAATATTGCTTCCTTTGAAGTCTGCTTTCGCTATGTATTTGCCACCTAACACTCAGGATGACCCCTGTGACACATTTGGGGCTTTCAACATATTTCACAGTTATGTCTTCAGACCCCCTGCAGTTGAATAGCGGGTGAGCAAAGGTTTTTTTAAAGTGGATATCAAGTTGTGTCTGGCCTTTTTTTGACCACTCTGCATATAAATGGTAGCTGTTGCTTGGCTGCAATGTCAACAAGACACATTTAAGCCATTTGACAGGCTACAAGCACCCAAAGTCATGTTTTCAATAAAACTGTGTATCTTCACCTACACGTCCCTGTCTTAGCGGCATTATCTTGTCAATCACATGTCTGGAAAAGAAGAGCCAGTCTATTAAATATAACTGACCAAAGTCAATGAGTAATTTGCAATTTTACAGAAAAATAAACTGCATTGTTAAAAATCAGCAATTGTTGTTAAAGCACACAGGATACCTTTATATTGCAGCAGTGTAAAAAGGTAAATGTTGAAATACACTATAGGTACATTTTAAAGTTCACATAATCCTTCACTGCTGACAGAAAAATGTGAAGTGACATCAAATCATGCCCTTCATAAAAGATGATAGGGATTAGTGATAAAAATAGATATATTTTTATAAAGTGCTTTATGTGTGTATATGTGTTTTATACCAAAGTGCTAGGAACATCTACCACACATAACCCAGACAGCTGTCTTTTATACACTATATTGCCAAAAGTATTGGGACACCCTTCCAAATCATTGGATTCAGGTGTTGTTCCAATCACATCCATGGCCACAGGTGTATAAAATCAAGCACCTAGACATGAAGACTGCTTCTACAAACATTTGTGAAAGAATGGGTCGCTCTCAGTAGCTCAGTGAATTCAAGCTTGTTACTGTGATAGGTTTCCACCTGTGCAATAAGTCCAATAATTTCCTTGCTACTGAATATTCCACGGTCAACTGTTAATGGTATTATAACAAAGTGGAAGCAACTGGGAACAAAAGCAACTCAGCCATGAAGTGTTAGACCACGTAAAATGACAGAGCGGGGTCAATGCATGCTAAAGCGTACAGTGCGCAGAAGTCATCAACTGTCTGCAGATACAATAGCAAAAGACCTCCCAACTTCATATGGCTTTTAGATTAGCACAACAGTGTGTAGAGAGCTTTATGGAATGGGTTTCCATGGTGGAGCAGCTGCATCCAGCCTTACATCACCAAGTGCAATGCAAAGTGGCGGATGCAGTGGTGTAAAGCACACCGCCACTGGACTCTCTAGAGCAGTGGAGATGTGTTCTCTGGAGTGACGAATCAAAATTCTCTCTCTGGCAATCCGACAGATGTGTCTGGGTTTGGCAGAGACTGGTACTTGCATGACTGCATTGTGTCAAGTGTAAGGTTTGGTGGAGGGGGAATTATGGTGTGGAGTTGTTTTTCAGGGGTTGGGCTTGGCCCTAGTTCCAGTGAAGAGAAATCTTAAGGCATCAGCATACCAAAACATTTTGGACAATTTCATGTTCCCAACTCTGTGGGAATAGTTTGGGGATGGCCCCTTCCTGTTCCAATAAGACTGCACACCAGTGCACAGAGCTAGAGCTAGGTCCATAAAGACATGGATGAGCAAGTTTGGGGAGGAGGAGCTTGACTGGCCTGCACAGAGTCCTGACCTCAACCCGTTAGAACACCTTTGGGATGAATTAGAGCAGAGACTGCGAGCTAGGCCTTCTCGTTCAACATCATTGCCTGACCTTACAAATGCACTTCTGGAAGAATGGTCAAACATTCCCATAGACAAACTATTAAACCTTGTGAACTGTCTACCTAGAAGACTTGAACCTCTTATAACTGCAAAGGGTGGGCCAACTCAATATTGAACCCTATGGACTAAGACTGGGGTGCCATTAAAGTTCATGCACGTGTGTAAAGTCAGGTGCCCCAATACATTTGTCAATATAGTGTATGTTGCAATAGTCTGTGTATCATAAAAAAAATAATCCCTGAAATTTTGATCCATAGAGGTCACTTTACAGACTCATACATTCTGTCAGCAAGTATCATTGCCTTACATCCACAGAATCTTAATACCTTATGAGTCAGATTTACTAAAATTGGAGCACAGAACCTGGTGCAGCCGTGCAGAGTAGCCAATCAGCTTCTAACTTCAGCTTGATCAATTAAGCTTTGACAATAAAAGCTGGAAGCTGACTGGTTACAATGCAGTTGCACCAAATTTGGTGTGCGCCAGATTTCATAATAACCCCCCCCCCCCTTCTTGCTATCTGTTATGTTTCCTAAAGATAAAAACTACATTCAACTCTGGTTCACTAGTTTTGGATAGAGCTATGGAGTGGTTAGAACCTATCCTTTTGTTGGAGAAATATCCTTTATTTGCTGTTACAGTAGTACACAGTTGTATTGCTGTAAACCAGTTTTTTCTTTATATCTCCTTGCAGTGGATTCTTCATATATTCCTATGAAGAACTTACGAGGAGCTGCTGACAGTGTCAAAAGGCAGCCACCATAAATTGATAAAAATTCAGCTGGTTCAGCAGGGACCAAATGAATTTCGATCATGAGTGGTCACTACAGTTAAACAGAAGTCAATCTACCAATCAACTTCTGTTCAACCACCTTATCAGATAAAAGCCAACCAATAGCTGGAGCGCTCATCTGTGTATTCTGATAGCGGGGGAGTCTCCCCGCTATCAGAATACAATAGCACAATGGAGAGGACTCCCCCCCATCAACCTTGAATGTAAGGATGGGAGAATGGGTTCAGTTTTTTTTTTTTGTTCAACCCACTGGCTGAGCAAAAAAAAAAAAAAAAAAAACTAACTCATATACAGCCAGCTAAAATTGGTGGAATTCAACTTTAATCTTCTATCTTTTTATAAATAGTCATAAGTAGATGAAAAATAATTAACATTTAACAGGAAACTACAGTGCAACGTCACTGAGAATCTTTTAGAATTAATAATTTAATTTTAATTAATATAATCCCTGGATAACTGATATTTTTACATTCTTGCCATGCCATATGTATGTCATTGTATTACATGCACTTATTCTCCCTGTAGTAGGTATCTAAAATCAGCCTCCCTGATCCACAACAACTGGTATAAAGTCTCCACTACACAGATGTTGAATTTTCTAAACCAGTCAGATTACAGCGGTTTAGAAAAGCGTACAGTGCGCAGAAGTCATCAACTGTCTGCAGATACAATAGCAAAAGACCTCCCAACTTCATATGGCTTTTAGATTAGCACAACAGTGTGTAGAGAGCTTTATGGAATGGGTTTCCATGGTGGAGCAGCTGCATCCAGCCTTACATCACCAAGTGCAATGCAAAGTGGCGGATGCAGTGGTGTAAAGCACACCGCCACTGGACTCTAGAGCAGTGGAGATGTGTTCTCTGGAGTGACGAATCAAAATTCTCTCTCTGGCAATCCGACAGATGTGTCTGGGTTTGGCAGAGACTGGTACTTGCATGACTGCATTGTGTCAAGTGTAAGGTTTGGTGGAGGGGGAATTATGGTGTGGAGTTGTTTTTCAGGGGTTGGGCTTGGCCCTAGTTCCAGTGAAGAGAAATCTTAAGGCATCAGCATACCAAAACATTTTGGACAATTTCATGTTCCCAACTCTGTGGGAATAGTTTGGGGATGGCCCCTTCCTGTTCCAATAAGACTGCACACCAGTGCACAGAGCTAGAGCTAGGTCCATAAAGACATGGATGAGCAAGTTTGGGGAGGAGGAGCTTGACTGGCCTGCACAGAGTCCTGACCTCAACCCGTTAGAACACCTTTGGGATGAATTAGAGCAGAGACTGCGAGCTAGGCCTTCTCGTTCAACATCATTGCCTGACCTTACAAATGCACTTCTGGAAGAATGGTCAAACATTCCCATAGACAAACTATTAAACCTTGTGAACTGTCTACCTAGAAGACTTGAACCTCTTATAACTGCAAAGGGTGGGCCAACTCAATATTGAACCCTATGGACTAAGACTGGGGTGCCATTAAAGTTCATGCACGTGTGTAAAGTCAGGTGCCCCAATACATTTGTCAATATAGTGTATGTTGCAATAGTCTGTGTATCATAAAAAAAATAATCCCTGAAATTTTGATCCATAGAGGTCACTTTACAGACTCATACATTCTGTCAGCAAGTATCATTGCCTTACATCCACAGAATCTTAATACCTTATGAGTCAGATTTACTAAAATTGGAGCACAGAACCTGGTGCAGCCGTGCAGAGTAGCCAATCAGCTTCTAACTTCAGCTTGATCAATTAAGCTTTGACAATAAAAGCTGGAAGCTGACTGGTTACAATGCAGTTGCACCAAATTTGGTGTGCGCCAGATTTCATAATAACCCCCCCCCCCTTCTTCTTGCTATCTGTTATGTTTCCTAAAGATAAACTACATTCAACTCTGGTTCACTAGTTTTGGATAGAGCTATGGAGTGGTTAGAACCTATCCTTTTGTTGGAGAAATATCCTTTATTTGCTGTTACAGTAGTACACAGTTGTATTGCTGTAAACCAGTTTTTCTTTATATCTCCTTGCAGTGGATTCTTCATATATTCCTATGAAGAACTTACGAGGAGCTGCTGACAGTGTCAAAAGGCAGCCACCATAAATTGATAAAAATTCAGCTGGTTCAGCAGGGACCAAATGAATTTCGATCATGAGTGGTCACTACAGTTAAACAGAAGTCAATCTACCAATCAACTTCTGTTCAACCACCTTATCAGATAAAAGCCAACCAATAGCTGGAGCGCTCATCTGTGTATTCTGATAGCGGGGGAGTCTCCCCGCTATCAGAATACAATAGCACAATGGAGAGGACTCCCCCCCATCAACCTTGAATGTAAGGATGGGAGAATGGGTTCAGTTTTTTTTTTTGTTCAACCCACTGGCTGAGCAAAAAAAAAAAAAAAAACTAACTCATATACAGCCAGCTAAAATTTGGTGGAATTCAACTTTAATCTTCTATCTTTTTATAAATAGTCATAAGTAGATGAAAAATAATTAACATTTAACAGGAAACTACAGTGCAACGTCACTGAGAATCTTTTAGAATTAATAATTTAATTTTAATTAATATAATCCCTGGATAACTGATATTTTTACATTCTTGCCATGCCATATGTATGTCATTGTATTACATGCACTTATTCTCCCTGTAGTAGGTATCTAAAATCAGCCTCCCTGATCCACAACAACTGGTATAAAGTCTCCACTACACAGATGTTGAATTTTCTAAACCAGTCAGATTACAGCGGTGAGCAGGGCTAGTAATGAAAACACAGTCTGTAAACAGAAAATATAGTTGTTCCAAGTCAACAAAGTATAAACCATAACAAAGTATTAATATATACAGACATCATAAAAAAAGGGCCTGTGTTGGTGGTCTTTTATTTGCACCAAAACTACTTATTTCCTCATACAAGTCAATGGGAATGCAAAAGCAGCTTGAAGCAAGTTGATGCAGCTTGGAAGGAGGTCCAATGTGCCTGTCACTGAATACAGAGTGATTTTAGTGTTTCAAACTGATGTTAGATTCAAGCAGAATACAGTTGAAAGCAAGCTTTACTTGCCCATCCAAACATTAAGCATGCCAATCATACATGTATGTTTAAAAAAAAGCCTATAGCTTCCATTTAGGCAATAAAAGAAATGTAAAATTAGTCGGTAATCTATTGGCAATGAATTTCATAATACAAAAGCAACCAGCAATGTATTAATGGAATATGAATCAAGACTTCGCACTTTAAAATGGCAGTACCTTTAGAACAATATTATTTGATATCCTGTATTTATTTATTTCAGGTATTTCTTATATAGTGCCATCAATTACACAGCGCTTTACTTACATATTGTACATTCACATCAGTCCCTAACCCTCAAGGTGCGTACAATCTAAAGTCCCTAACGTACATTCATACATACATACTAGGGCCAATTTAGACAGGAGCCAATTAGCCTACCAGCATGTCTTTGGAGTGTGGAAGGAAACCGGAGTACCTGGAGGAAACCCACGCAGGTACAGGGAGAACATGCAAACTCCAGGCAGGTGGTGCTGTGGTTGGGATTTGAACCGATGACTCTAGTACTGCCAGGCAGAAGTGCTAACCATTTAGCTACTGTGCTGCCCACATATTCTACTGGAATTACAGTCAGGATCCAAGTAGCGGTCAATAAGCACCAGGAGGTCCATGAACTATCAAGTTGACCTTAAATTTTAACCACTTGACCTCCAGGCCATTTTCTGACACTTTTGTTTACATGTAAAAATCAATATTTTTTGTTACAAAAAAATTGTCACATTTGCGCAGAGGTTTTAATGCAGATTTTTTTTTGGGAAAAAATACACTTTTTTAAATTTTAATGCAAAAAAAAAAAAAAACACCACAATACATAACCTAATTTTTAAGATGATGTTACACTGCGTAAACAGATATAAAACATGTCATGCTTTACAATTGAACTGTGCAATGGCAACAAACGGCTAATTAGACACTCCCATTGTTTTTACAAGAGAGACGACCACCGGCTCTAAAAAAATGGTACTGGGATGACGCTGCAGCAGCAGGCATCATACTGGTACAACCACTTAAAAGTCCAGCAATGGCGTCACTGGTCCACAAGTGATTAGACAAAGATCAATCTGAAAGGATATCCTTCTAGGCTGGTCATAAACAGTGAAAATCAATGACAAACATGACACAAATCCCTTGACCACAACCAAAACTGAAAAAAATCTGGTGGCACATAAGTATCTGGCCTAATTTCCAAATTTACCTTTATAAAATACTTCCAAAAACTGTGTTTTTATATAATCTCAAGGCCAGTTTTGTAAGTTTGTTAATGATACCAGCTCCATTGGCTTCAGTCTAATTTACTTGTTGTGCATTTATCCATCAACCTTCTGGATCAGAGAACTAAGAAATCATCAGGAGGGCAGGTTCATAGGGTTTGTAAAATAGCCATGAAACACTGCCTTATCATGTGCTGTTAAGACCCTGTGGTTTGTAAAATCTATAATTCCCTTATAACTGTACTATATTTATGAAATGTATGCAGATATGTGTCTATAGTGTTACCATAAACAGATCTACATTTACAATGTCACAGCTTTCTCAGTTTTTCAAAATGTAGTTGAATGCTAGGGTAGACTAAATTAAAGTACATCTAAGGCAACTAACTATTGACATAAGCAATAATTTTACCATTTTTTAACAGGTTATGGACTATTGCAATGGCATATGAAATGTTTAATAAATCTAATGATACAGCACATTCCATAGGAAAAAATATTTTATTTTTTAAGAACAAATTCAGTTTGAAACAAACGTGGAATGTGAAATTTCAGAGCTTTGTTGTCTGGTAAGGAACAGGTTGAAGGGCTAAATACAATGTGAAACTAAAGCAAAAATTGTAAACCTAGGAAAGGCTATCTTGTTTCTTTAAAAAAAAAAAGGAAACAAATATTTATAAACTCAGGCATAATACTGTGTTACTTACAAAATTGGACAAAAATTATTTTAAATAAATATTCATGGTACACAATTACGGCACATATATGCAGCAATTTGGCAACCTTTTTTTAACCTTTTCTTCCTCATTACAGTGCAAAGGGAAATGACACTGCCTTTAAACAAGCGGTAGCTAAATACATAGCAAAAATTCAATTTTATACAAAACATTTTGCTTAGACTTTGTAAAAAAAATCCAACATTGCTCTATGTACACAATCTGGTTAAGAAAATCCATTTCTGTCTTTTTTTTTTACATGTGTAATTTTCTATATGAATATTTAAAAAGGTGAATAAGGCTACGGACACACCCCAAATCCAGATACAGTTCTCAACATATTTACAGCTTCACTTTGACATAATGGTGCAAATTCCTAAGTCGGGTGACTAAGGATCACATGATCTCACAAGCAAGGCATTTACAGAAAAAAATGTTCCAAACCTGAACCAACTTCTAAACAAAAGGGAACAGTTTGAAGATTGTCATTCGGCGTCAGACACAAAACAGACATAAAAGTAAAAGGCTGACACTATTTGCAGGTTGTTGCATCTGTTAGCAAGATTTTCACAGCTTTAATCAAAAGGAGATGGCCAAAAGATGTTAACAAAAAAAGAAAAAAAAAATTACTTGAGTGACTGTCGATAGCACAGAGAATGGCATACTGTGGCAAAAAAAAGGCAATTACTGCCAAATTAGTATACCATTATTTCAGGGTGCAGAGAAAATATGTGCATCATACAAAAATATAAAAACCTGTATTATGCAAATGTTAAATAAATGCCACTCTACGTTTTATTTATTTTTTTTATTACTGACCACACATCTCTTCTTTAATGCCAACATAATATTCAGGTTCAAGAAAAAAATAAGGAGAGCAATCAGTCTGGTGACAGTTCATTGTTGCAGGTGCTCCTTAGAGATTCAAGAACCTTAAATCGCTGCTACTAATTTTTTTTTTCTTTCCATTTCAGAGAGCAAAGTGTTACCATAGAAACAGAACTGTGTTGATGATATCTGTTTTGCATAGCACATAAATGTAGGAAGAAAAAAAAAGCAAAAAAAAAAAAGGGAAGAAGGTGGAAGAAAAAAAGAAGACATAAGAGAAAAACAACAAAGAAAAAATATAGGTATTGCGTTCTGTAACCTGCTGAAGTCTAGTGTAACATTTTTGCATTAAGGCAAAAAGGAAATTCGAATGCAGAAAATGACTGACAACACATTTTCTCATCTTTGTTACACTTATGATGCAGTAACACTGATTTCCTGCTTTTGGGCTTGAACTTCCTAGTCTGCTCTTGTGTGAGACGCCTTTAGAGGGCTTGTTATTTTTCCTTTTTCTCATTATTGTTATTTTTGGAATATTGTTGTTTTCTTCCACCAGAAGCAATGTCTAATTCTGCTCTCTAAAGCCACCAGTTAAGCCTATTTAACTGTTGCAAAAATGGATTTCACATCTTCTGGTGGGGCAGGCTGTGCAATATTAAATTATATATTAGTAAAATCTTTTTTTTTTTTTTTTTTTTTTTTTACTATATATCCCGTGTGCTATACACCTATTAAATAAGTTTTTTTTAATTCTTTCCTGCTCTCCATACTAATAATTTATTTTATACCTAAGAACTGTAAAATGTTTGCCATATGTGCTTTTACTTTGAAACAGAGCACCAGCGAACTTCCACGTCAGCGGCGATTCCTACACGGCACTCCCTTGGGACAGCATGACCACAAAGCGAAAGTGTCCAATGATTTATTTAATGAGTGCCAGATAAAATGGCTCTCTCTAATGAAGCATATCAGTGTAGGAAAAAAAAAAAATAATATTTCATTTTTTAGCGGGTGTGTTGAACATATGCTCTACTTTGACCTTTGGTTCTAGAACTCAGAGGTCAGATTTGGCTTCCTGCTATTATCTTGAAAGCTTTCTCTATCTGAGGAATAATATGGTCAGTGTAGCACCTGAGTCTGCTTATATATTTCAGTCACAACAGACTAGGAGTTTCATAAAACTTGTTCTTATTGCCTTTATCTCCAACAGTCTTGCCTCGTAGCAACTTGTCATTGTCCTTCTTTACCTGCTTATGCTCTTTTCTAAGAATACGTAGCGCAAAGTGTGTCACACACTACTCCTGGATAGTCCGAACTCCCTTCGCTACAGTCTTACGCCACTGCATTTCATAAGATATCAAAGTGCTTTGCTGCCGACGTCAATTTCTGTCCTATGCTTTATTTCAGAGGCAATAGGATTTAACTGCATTTCAGCAGTTTAGCCTGTAGACTACTGGACTTGCTGACAGTTTAACTTCTTGCTGGAAGGCTCTGTATTAGCAAATACAATTTCCATAATATATTACCCATTCGTGTGTGACTGCGGTAGAAATGGATGGAACAAGAGTCTACAAAGGTTAATGTTCCATTAGTGATAAGGGAGGTGGAGTGAAAGGAAATCTTATGTGAAGGATAGAGCAACCCTAGACAACGGATGAACATGAAACAGTGATGGACTAAATTTTAGAAAATGCAGATATCTGTGTTTTTTTTTTCTAAAGTCCTAGACACAAACATTTACTGACAAATCCAGTATGCATTAAGAAAGCTAGTCGATATTAAATCAGAAGATTGCATTTCAAGATAAATAATCTAGAGCATATTTAAAATGCCTAAGATGAGTAATGTCCTTGAATCTGTCCATGTTAACCTGGCTTTTGAATATGCTTGGATGCCTGAAGCTCATGGCTTAGAGGGTGAACATGATCAGGGCATAGATATCAGAATGGGCATATCTAAAAGTCTTCCAGCTTGCAGTGAACACTTTCCAGAGGAACCATCGGATCCCATAAACTGCGCAGCTTAAAGAGGCTTTCTCTGAAGGAAGGTTTTCTCTTGTGCCTGTTCCCCAATGCAAGTCCATATTTATGCATAAGGAATCACTAAAAAACCCCATCAGGAAGCAACGGACTTTGAACTGTCCATACTATTGTCAAAAGGTACCACTGGATTCCTCAGACCTTGTAGTAGATGTTTGCTGGACTTTGTGGTGGCATCTCTTGCACAATGTAAACAGGATGTCCATAATCCCCACTGACCTTTTCGTAATGTGGGCAGAAGACACTGTCTGCAGTCCTTAAAGGGATGATAATGTCACTTGGTTCTGAACCATTGTTATTGCCACTACGCTTTGGTGTGGCTAATGTACTAAGGGACAATGTTGTTGTGTGCTGGGGTGAATGCTTTCTGTGTCTTCTTCTGTATTTCAACAAAAGCACCACTAGCGTGATGATGATGACGATGAAGATGATGCACCCTGAAGCAATCCCTGCAAATAAGGCCACCTCAGATCCAATGATACTTGAGTGTCCACTATTTTTTCCATTTGTACTAGACCCTAGAAGAAGAAAAAACAGGGTGTTCAGTAAATATACATCTTAACATAATGTAATCTTAACCTAGCTGCTATTTTATTTGGCCAGGTTTAACATTTTAAATTCTCGGCAGAGCATACAAAATGAACTGGCTCGCAGCTGATCTTTGACAAAGCAATTACCCTCTTAGATAGCTAAATGCAAACACAGGGAATACACGATCAATATTAAACAAGACTTTGTGTCTCATAAGCTTACTTTCATGCTGAAGTTCAACCACATTGTTTCTGTTATGGACATCCATCAACAAAGACAGCAAGGCCTTTGTATACGCCTCTTCTCGGAGCAATTGCTGGATGTCCTGTTACTCTTGTACGGAACAGCAATTCCCATAAGAATTGCCATAACTGTACAAAGCATATCCTATTGTGTTTCCCAGCAAATGCTGATTAACCTATTTAGTGCCTGCGGGAACTGCAGCCACATTCCCTTATTATGATACCAGTTATATTGCTCGCCGATGCAGACGATTGTAATGTAATGTAATTTCATGTACTTATCAGTGTTGAATAAGAATCTATCCGCACTCATGAAAACCAAAGTTAATTTGGGCACCGTGGTAGAAATATTAATGATTCAGCTTATGTAATACACAATTAACTAAACAAATGACTGCACATCTGGCGTGCAGTAAAAAGTGTCACATTGGAACAGTCTGATATTCTGCTCTTTCAGCACATTATGAATTAATTAGAAATAATAAGTGCATAGAGCACAATAAGCACAATAGGAGACATTATGGATGAACACATGGCATGGAACTCCTCCCATTTCTCATATCAGAAAGTCATGCCACAGGATATGCAACAATTATTTACAACAGTCTTGACACCCAACCTCTACAAGCTATATTATGTAACAATTTTAAGGTTTTCACCACAGAACAAAACTTTACCAGTCACTGTCATATACCACCTATAAACATCCTATACTGATTCTCTGCCTAATACACTGATTCTCTGCCAAATACACTGCCTATACTGATTCTCTTTGACCATGATATCATGAACATGAATACTCACTCACCAATTGCCAAATACACTGCTCAAAAAAATTAAAGAAACACTTTAGCATCAAGTCGATTAAATTCCTGGGATATTGATCTGGTCAGTTAAGTAGCAGAGGGGGTTGTTAATCAGTTTCAGCTGCTTTGGTGTTAATGAAATTAAAAACAGGTGCAATAGATGGGCAACAATGAAACAACCCCCAAAACAGGAATATTCTGACATTTTTTTCTCTGCTCATCTTTACTGACTGTTTTTCATTAGTTTTGCACTTGGCTAGGGTCAGTGTCACTACTGGTAGCATGAAGAGATACCTGGACCCTACAGAGGTTGCACAGGCAGTCCAACTCCTCTAGGATGGCACATCGATACGTGCCATTGCCAGAAGGTTTGCTGTGTCTCCCAGCACAGTCTCAAGAGCATGGATGAGATTCCAGAAGACATGCAGTTACTCTAGGAGAGCTGGACAGGGCTGTAAAAGGTCCTTAACCCATCAGCACGACCGAAATCTGCTCCTTTGTGCAAGGAGGAACAGGATGAGCACTGCCAGAGTCCTACAAAATGACCTCCAGCAGGCACTGGTGTGAATGTCTCTGCCCAAACAGACATGAAAGGGTCTGGAAAAGCCGTGGAGAACGTTATGCTGCCTGTAACATCTTTCAGCATGACCGTTTTGGTGGTGGGTCAGTGATGTTCTGGGAAGGCATATCCATAGAAGGATCCACAGACCTCTACAGGCTAGACAATGGCACCCTGACTGCCATTAGGTATCGGGATGAAATCTTTGGACCCATTGTCAGACCCTACGCTGGAGCAGTGGGTTCTGGGTTCCTCCTGGTGCACAACAATGCCCAGCCTCATGTGGTGAGAGTATGCAGGCAGTTCTTGAAGGATGAAGGAAATGATACCATTGAATGGCCCCCATGCTCGCCTGACCTAAATCCAATAGAACACCTCTAGTATATCATATTTTGGTCCATTCAATGCCACCAGGTTGCACCTCAGACCAGGGGCGGATTGACAACTCATGGGGCCCCTGGGCAATAGGGATCATGGGGCCCCTGTGCCCTTGCCCAAACTCAAAAAGCCTATGAAAAAGGTACCAGGGGCATCTCATGGGGCCCCCTACTGACCCCGGGCCCTCGGGCAGTGCCCGAGTTTCCAAATGGTCAGTCCGTCCCTGCCTCAGACTGTCCAGGAGCTCAGTGAGTCCCTGGTCTAGATCTGGGAGGAAATACCCCAGGACACCATCCATTGTCTCATTAGGAGCATGCCCGACATTGTCAGGCATGCATACAAGCATGTGGGGGCCATACAACCTACTGAGTACCATTTTGAGTTGCTCTAATGAAATTTCAGCAAAATGGACTAGCCTGCTGCATCATTTGTTCACTTTGATTTTCGGAATGTCTTTGAATTCAGTCTTCTGTAGGTTGATCATTTTCATTTCCATCAAATGATGGATGGCATCCTTACGTTCCTAACACATTACCCAGTCCATATTAGAATAGATATCAAGCATGATATTTTTCCCCATTGAGATCTGATGTGTTTTCAAACTGTTCCCTTAATTGATTTTGAGCAGTGTATATTTCTAAGTGTGCACTACCTCAAATTTTATCAACAAGGGCATTTTACAAGTGTCTAACATTAGTTTTCTAAAAATTTCAAACAACAGCAGCATAACTCTAAAATACTCCCTAAGTGCTGACCTACAAATCTCAGCCTTTTATGAATATGCTTCTTCCATGGAGGAAATGGAAGAGGAGGTATGTGATTTAATGCTTTACCATACCTACAGTGGATATAAAAAGTCTACACACTCCTGTTAAAATGTCAGCAATCTCCTGTATTCTTCATATGTCTGGGCTATGGGGTAGAGTAGCAAGACGGAAACCTTTTCTTACAAAGAAAAACATCCAAGCCCGGCTAGATTTTGCAAAAACACATCTGAAGTCTCCCAAAAGCATGTGGGAAAATGTGTTATAGTTTGATGAAACCAAGGTTGAACTTTTTGGCCATAATTCCAAAAGATATGTTTGGCGCAAAAACAACACCGCACATCACCAAAAGAACACCATACCCACAGTGAAGCATGGTGGTGGCAGCATCAAGCTTTGGAGCTGTTTTTCTTCAGCTGGAACTGGGGCTTTAGTCAAGGTAGAGGGAATTATGAACAGTTCCAAATACCAGTCAATATTGGCACAAAACCTTCAGGCTGCTGCTAGAAAGCTGACCATGAAGAGAACCTTCATCTTTCAGCATGACAACGACCCAAAGCATACATCCAAATCAACAAAGGAATGGCTTCACCGGAAGAAGATTAAAGTTTTGGAATGGCCCAGCCACAGCCCAGACCTGAATCTGATAAAAAATCTGTGGGGTGATCTGAAGAGGGCTGTGCACAGGAGATGCCCTCACAATCTGACAGATTTGGAGTGTTTTTGCAAGGAAGAGTGGACAAATATTGCCAAGTCAAGATGTGCCATGCTGATAGACGCATACCCAAAAAGACTGAGGCTGTAATAAAATCAAAAGGTGCTTCAGCAAAGTATTAGTTTAAGGGTGTGCAGACTTATGCAACCATATTATTTTAGTTTTTTATTTTTACTTCCCTCCACCTAAAAGATTTGTATAGTTTATAGGCTACATTAAAGGTGGAAAAAGTTCTGAAATTATTTATCTTTGTCTTATTTTTTTTACATCACAGAAACCTGACATTTTAACAGGGGTGTGTAGACTTTTTAAATCCACTGTACATAGGAAAAAATACTTTACATAATAATATACCTATCTTGATTTATACAATCTCTAGCAATGTAATAGATATCTTAAAGAGAATTGAGAGCAGACCTGCTGTTCTGGAACTGCAATGTTTGTAAAAATAAAAATAAATACATTCTAAAATATTTATAATATAGAAAATATGTATACCTTCAGGACCATTGACAAATGGACTCGTGGTAGAGCTCTTTCCATTGGTTCCAGACTCTTGATTTGGGCGTCTTGTTGGGTTTGCATCTTGACTATTACCCGGAGAGTCAGGATCTACACACAAATATAATAAAAATCGTCATAACATTGAAAAAAAGAAACAACATATGTTGTGTAAAGATATTGTATGAAATAACAAAGGACTAGAAGGTGGTAATAGGAAATCCATTGTGTATGTGTTTAGATGGGAGTAATTTTCTTTTTCTTTAAGAAAGCACAGAATGCAAGCTATTTTAGACACTTAGACTGTAAAACCATCTGCAGAAACTATAGGGATTCTCACAGTTGGCAAGCAAAGCTCTGCAAATGACATTTCAATTTAGCAGAGTGAGTTGATTGACTACTAAACCAAGTTCTAATTAGAAATATTATTCATTCCTGACACACACTAAGTAATCCATACATGTGAGCTCAAGGAATCTTGCATAGCTTGTATAATAAATAATGTGCTTTCGCAAAGTGGTTTTGAGTGATCCTTTGACAAATATTGATTCTATTGACAATTGATTCTTATATCAAACCAGGAAGAACTTCAAGGTATACAGTGCTTGTAAATTCATATTTGATTTGACAGATCAAATCTGAAACAATATCCGACAATGTGTGGTCAGCAAAATAAATTTGTAAGTAGATTTAAAGTGGTTCTAAAGCCTGAAAGTTTCTCACCTTAACGCATTCTATGCTTTAAGGTGAAACAATTTCTGTGCTGCACAACCCCTTCCTCCCAGGCTCCCCTTATTCTCATCTGAACACGATCTGATCCAGCAATGTGCATAACAGCGTTTCTCAACACTGTCTCCCTCCTCCCTGGGCAGATTGATTTGATTGCTGTCAATCAAATGCTGTGCCGAGGGAGCAGGGCCGAACTGTCTGGTTTGTATCAATGGACGCAGATCGAGAGGCTCAGGAGTGAGCCCGCATGGGTGCCCCCAAGGAAGGTGGCTTTCCATGGGGGAACCAACTGAAGAGGAGGGGCCAGGAGCACCAGCAGGGGACCCCAGAAGAAGAGCATCAGGCTGCTCTGTGCAAAACGACTGCACAGAGCAGGTAAGTAAAACATGTTTGTTATTTTAATTTAAAAAAAACAAAGCTTTAATGTTGCTTTAAGGTAAAAATGAGGTACCTTGTACTTTGGTAAACTTTATAGCATAACTAAACCCAACAGAAAAAGACAACTGAACATTTGTCTTAGCCTAAAGAAATGCCTTTCGAAAAACAACATTTTTAAAGCATTAGCCAATTTTTTATAATTTGTGTGGAGTGTTCAAAATTTTAATCAAATGTCATACATTCTTTAGGAGCGGAAAATGTATATATAAGAGGCAAAGTAGTAATGTGCTCAATAGGAGGAGGAGGATACATTACTTCTTGCAAAAAGTAACTTTAATCTACTGAAATTAATGGTGCACCGAAATTAAAATTCTGGTGCCGAAACCGGAAATTCAAAATGCATTTGGTTGAAAACCGAAACGCGCAGTTTTTAAAAATGAATATATATTTTTTGTAAAAAAAAATACACTTTGATGAAAAAAAACAAAAAAAAAACAATATATGCCCCAATTTTTTTGTAAAATATGAAAGAGGATATTACGGCGAGTAAATAGATACCCAACATGTCACGCTTTAAAATTGCGTGAAACTGCGGTACTTAAAAATCTCCATACCACAGGTTAGTAGTGTAAAGTTACAGAGGAGGTCTAGTGTGAGAATTATTGCTCTTGCTCTGACGTTCGTGGCAATACCTCACGTGTGTGGTTTGAACACCATATGCATATGTGGGCATGACCTACGTATGTGTTCACCACTACGTGTAAGCACGGGGGCACTGTAAACTTTTTTTTTAAATGTATTTAATGTTTTTTGTTTTTGCACTGTCCCTTTATAAAAATTTTTAACCACTTTTATTTTTATCACAAGAATTGCATGCATCCCTTGTGATAGAACTAATTAGTGACAGGTCCTCTTTATAGAGAGATATGGGGTCAATAAGACCCCACATCTCTCCTCTGTAATGTAAAGCACTGGATCAAAAAAAGCATTGATCTAGTGCTTTAAAAAAAAAAAAAAAACACAGAACCGGAAGTGACATCACTCCAGTCCTCCAAAGGCATAGAGATGAGTGGAGGCCATCTTTCCTTCACTCATCTCTATTCCTAGCGCCAGGATCGTCCAGTGGCTTCTCAGGTAAGGCTGAGAACTACCAAGCGGCGGCGGTGGTGACAGCAGCGAGGGGCGGGGGTTTTTCGGCACCTGTATCGGTGATTTTTTTCGGTGCATCACTAACTGAAATATCTTAAAACTGGTGCTTTGCCATTATGAAGAATCAACTTTTTAGCCTTACTTTACTAAACATGCTGGAGATTGCAGTGCCCGACCATTGGCCAAATATAGGGGCAGATGATTTTTCGTATTTCTTGTTATTGTCTGTTGAATGTCAAACATTACAAAAAGTCAAAATGTACAGGTAGCAAGTACCCACATGCACTATGGATGCATAACTGCTTCAATTGACTGTTTTTTATAGGTAGAGCAATAACTCTGTCACAGGAAGGTTTACTTTCCAGTAAATAAACAGAACTGTATTGTACTTGCTACTTGCATGCTTCTGCTGGAAACTGGTAATACTAATCTGATTGGGAGATCAAGCAAAGTTTTTACATTAGTCCTTACCTTGAGCAACTTTCAGAAGGATCTTCATGGCTTTAGTAACACATACTCCCCCTTCCTGGTTATGCAACCCCTCTTTTGAGCCATTGGATGTAGCTGTAGAATAAGATAAAAAAAATATGTAAAACCAATATATAAATACATTTTAACAGCATACAAACAATTCCATTGGTGACTTATGACAGTATTTGAGTCCAGTTCTATAAACACTGTAAATTGTAATCTGAGGGCTTTGAAGACTGCCTCCTGAGGTTTGCTGATTTAGAACATTTTCCCATGTTTAAGCCATTTATTTCATTGTATAAATAAGTTCAGGAAATTACAGGAATGGTATAGTGTATCAGTTAATTGTTACCATTAACAATAGTAACCTTCTTCTTGTCAAATCAAGTCTCACAATATTTCATTAACACTGTGCAGCAGGTTCATGAATCAGCACAAGCATTCATTGTTCTTGTAAGGACTTTCAGAAATCAAAGATGGTGGCTAACTTGTACATTTTTAAAGTCTGTAATTTGCCAGTAATTGTTGGGCCAGAGTAAGGTTCCCATGATGTAATCTGGTCCATAAATAGTCAATAACTAGGTCTATGACCACAGGGAGAGGTTTCTAACTTACCCTACAACACAATTATTTTTTGCTGTCTTTGTTCTTATTTGGAAAAGCTTCAGCTCACCTTCTGTCCTGGACATAGGAAGTGGAAGGAAATCTTTTCAGTGGGAATCACGGGCACCAATAAAGACTGTACATGGTGTCTAACCCTTTCCTCTCTATCCATATTCAAAACAAAATGTTGATGTTATAATGTCATTGTAATTTCTGGATACATCATTTAGGAAGCCCCAAACAGAACAAGGCAAGGTCTCCTGCTGTGCACATATACTTAAATAGAAATGTAGTTTTCCTCCAAGTAAGAGAGTCAGAATTGCACTGAGTTATATATCTCTTAGCACAGATCACTGCATTGTCTATTTAAGGACTGTTCATGAATAGAGCTTTGACTTGTATTTTGTCAATCACAATACCCTGGTACTAAAGCAAAAAGCTTAATCTGCATCCACTAATTGTCCTAGATACTTGTGTTACTCCATTGTATGAGTTCAGCACCATTGTACCACCCATCCATCTATTGTAAGCAGCTTGCTGTATCTCACAATACCCATAAATCTCTATTTCACTTCCCTAAATGAATTCTGCATTGTCTTCATTATAAGGGGAATTATAGCACATTATCACATATTTTGAATTTCGGCAGTAATCATTGATTTCACCTTCACATTTATGTACACTAGTTCTTTATTTTAATTATTGCATACAAATAGAGATCTGCAGATAAGCCACTCGATGAAACACCATATTCAGTGAAATCATTCTGCTTCCCTGCTCCCTGTTGAGAAACATTATCAGCAGCATAAGTGCATGGTTTTCACTTCGGTTGGCAAAACCATGGGCTCAAAATGTCAGAGGGAGTAGTAAAACACAACCACTGTGATTTTTAAATGTTTTCCCACTCACAAAGAAATTATCAATCTAAAAATCGAATGGTAGGTGTATTGTAACACTGAGAGACAGAACAGCAACAAAAAAAATCAAAAGAAATGCATGTCTAACAAATTATGCACGGATTTGCATGTTCATGAGGGAAATAAGTATTTGATCCCCTATCATTCAGCAGGATTTCTGGCTACCAGGTGTCTTTCATACAGGTAACAAGCTGAGATTAGAAGCAGTCTCTTACATTGCCCCGTCCATCATCCCTTTGTTGTGGTGCAGTTGTCCTGTCCCCTTAGCAGAAAAACACCCCCAAAGCAGAATGTTTCCACCACGTTTGACAGTTGGGATGGTGTTCTTGGGGTCATAGGCAGCATTGCTCCTCCTCCAAACAGTGAGTTGAGTTAATGCCAAAGAGCTCGATTTTGGTCTCATCTGACCACAACACTTTCAACCAGTCCTCCTCTGCATCATTCAGATGTTCAGTGGCAAACGTCAGACAGGCCTGGACATGTGCCTTCTTGAGCAAAGGGATCTTGCGGGCACTTCAGGATTTCAGTCCTTGTCGGCGTAGTGTGTTACCAATTGTTTTCTTGGTGACTGTGGTCCCAGCTACCTGGAGATCATTGACAAGATCCTGACGTGTAGTTCTGGGATGATTCCTCACTGTTCTCATGATCATTGACACTCCACGAGGTGAGATCTTGCATGGTGCAGCAGACCTAGAGAGACTGACAGTTGTTTTGTGTTTCTTCCATTTGCGAATGATTGCACCAACTGTTGCCACCTTTTCACCAAGCTGCTTGGCGGTAGTTTTGTAACCCAGTCCAGCCTTGTGTAGGTCTACAATTTTGTCCTTGACATCCTTGGACAGCTCTTTGGTCTTTGCCATGGTGGAGAGTTTTGAATCTGATTGTTTGATTCCTCCTGTGGACAGGTGTCTTTTATACAGGTAACAAAATAAAATTAGCAGCACTCCCTTTAAGAGACTGCTTCTAATATCAGCTTGTTACCTGTATGAAAGACACCTGGTAGCCAGAAATCCTGCTAAATGATAGGGGATCAAATACTTATTTCCCTCATAAACATGCAAATCATTGCATAATTTGTTAGACATGCATTTCTTTTGAATTTTTTGTTGTTATTCTGTCTCTCAGTGTTACAATACATCTACCATTCGATTGTTAGACTGATCATTTCTTTGTGAGTGGGCAAACATTCAAAATCAACAGGGGATCAAATACTTATTTCCTTCACTGTATGGTATCTTATAAGCAAATATGGCTGCTCTCATGTACATATGTCATCTACAAAGTATACATAAATACAAGATATTTAAAATAGCATACACTAGAAAGATTATTGACTTTATGTTGATCTTTTACTTATACATATAAGACAAACAACAAAGAAACCAACTATACCCATAGGATTCTTCAGCTTTCTATAAACAGCACACTAGTATTTTATGTCATCAAGCCTATTTTTATTCCAACCCCTTCTTTAAGCAAGAAAAAAAAAACAATAGTAATCTAATCTATGAGTACATCTGACAGCATGACACTAGAACACAAGGCTCACAAAATAATGGAGACATAGTTTTTTTTCTTTTTTTTTTTTTAGTGGAAACAAAAATCAATAGCAAGCAGCAGCCCTAGACATAAATCAAATGTGTCTGTGATAAAAGTGTTTTTTACGACCTATTTGCCGATGTACAGGCAAGTAAGATAGAGGAGAAATAAGTGTAGAGAAAGTAGAAGCTGAACTCTAGCTTGGCTCAATCAGTTTTTCTTTTTGTTTTTGGTTTTTTTTTTTTTTTTTACTTTGTTATAACGAAACTGCAGAAATCCTATACTTAGACAAACGCAAATGCATTCACTACTGAACAAATTCTTGAATCCGCTTTTAAGGTGACAATAATGTATAATTTTTAATACTGCTGGACTTTGGATGGCTATACAAGGTCCAATTCAACAGTGATGACTGGCAGAGGTTCAGGCCATGTGGAGCTTCCCTAGAGGGTGATAAAGAGTGTTTCTGACTGTCAGAAGCACACGTTATCACTCAGAGAGCTTTTACAACAGATGTCTCACTGCCCTTATGTGTCAGCGAGACATCTTCCTATCTGAGCCCAGCAAAGAGCAACTGTACAGTGTAGTAACCCATAGCCAATCAGTGCTAAAAAAATGATTTGTTTGATGAATGTTACTGGACTTTGCACATCACCAATGACATCCTGCACTGTGTTACTGGATACATACAATATGCATGCATGGCTAAAGAATATGCACTGTGGAAGGGATAATCTTGGACAACAGGCCAAACAAAATGGAACATAGAGTAGGATGATAATAGAAGCGTCAAGATCTAATTCAGTCTAGAATCTTCACATAATAGAATGCCAACATAAATCTGTCTCAAAGCTACAATACTTTATTGGGAGACATGTTTTGCTAAGGAGCTAGAAAACCATAGTTCACATAAAATTATTTCATTACTCTAATTATTATTAAGATTATATTACATTGCATTATACAAAGTTAGTTTATCTTGTAACACCGTTTGATGATGGCAGTTTGTCACATAATTCTTGCATGTCACACTCTTTCTGCATAAGCTCCTTGAGGTTCCTAAATTAGCTGTGGGCTCTGCAAGGCTCATCTTCAAAATGAAGCGTTATCTGGTAGCAAAGCGAAAGGCCAAAACCCACATTACATCCTTAATTAAAACTGACTACTTGTAACAACCTCTATAGGGAAACACAGAACACCAGCAATTTGGATGAATTCCGTTGCATCCTATTCAAAGCACAATAAAGGCTTTTTATTAAGCAAACACATGAAATGACTAGAAGGCCTTTCTGATATTGAAGGGGTATTCTCTGTGGCCATTTTGTATTCTAAGCAGATGACAATGACATTTAAAGCAAGCCCTCTAAAAGCAATAGCAAAAATCACCATAGAAACGACTAGGGAAAGCAGTTGGCAGGCAACCATCTTTAAAATACAGACAATTCCACTTTACGTTATTATCCCTATGAAATAGAATAACTGAATGTTTAGATTTGACTCAGCGGTCAAAGGTTGCTTTTGTGCCATTTTTATCATCAAAATCTCTATCTACATGCACAAGACAAATGTGAAAAGTCTGATATGGCCTACATGAAGACAGGCTAGGGAAACCTTATTCAACCAGGGTTCCCAGGCACTCTTGGGTGCCTTGAGGTTTCTTCAGGGGTGCCTTGGCAAAATGTATAAAAATTTCACAAAAACTGCATACAAGTCAGAAGTGGATCAAGTCTGCCTCTTATTTACACAAAGCTACAGGTTTTTATTGTGCACCATTATGACATTCTAGCCACCAGCATCCCAACAACCAATGGCAACATCAGTCAATAAAGAAGATGTTGGTCGTCTGCAAAGAATCCTTGTTTGCCCCTCTCCATCAGTGTTGGGGTCACATTAGCTGAGTGATGGAGAAAAACTGAGGGAGAAGAGAAACTTTGAATACTAGTCAGTACCATTGTACAAAAGTGTATTTGATTTGGAAGAATAAATCACCTCTAATGTTAGGTGTCCTACATGTGTGGGTGTTGACACCTTATGTAAAACTATTAGAATAGTTTCTTTACATTTTAGAATGGAGTTCCTCAAGACTGTCCATAATTTTAGAGGTGCCTTGAGATTGTCCATAACTTTAAAGGGTGATAAGGATGAGAAACACTGGGCTAGGGGTAGGATTTAAACATGCCTGGTAGAGGCTGGCCAGTGTTAAAGGATAAGTTCACCTTTGGGAACATATTTTAGGGTGGAACATGTAACATGTTCCCATAGCAGCAGCCGCCATCCGCAGCCCCCCCCCCCCCCCAACAGATAGTACGGGGAGAAGTTCCCCCGGTATTATCTGTCAGATTTGAAAACACGGCAATGCGGGGCTCCACCCACACGGCAACGTCATTCGCTCAGACTTCTGTGAATGAATGAACTGCAAGTCCCGACAGCCTTAGCGGCTGTCAGCATGTAGTTTTCAATTAATTACCATGGTGCTGTGGAGCGCTGTGGTAGTTCATTGATTCTTCCTGTCAGTATATTTGCTTGCTCGTACATCCCATACGCCAAGCAGATATTCTGACAGATGCAGGAGACCTGGCATCAGCGATCTACTGATTGCTGGTGAAATGCTTTCCAGGCTCCTGTAGACAAAAATAATAAATGCACATTTTTTACCTGCAAAAAATGTGCATTTATTATTTTTGTTTAAAAGGTGAACTTATCCTTTAAGATGTTCTCTTCTTTGAACCCACTTTGGCTCCTGAAGCTTTGTCACACCAAGGTTGTGACCAACTGACCTGTGCTATAGTAAAGCTTCTCTATGGATATTTTCACACCTGTCAGGGGGGATTGAACAGAACAGAAATATTTGAAGTGGAAGGGGAAACTCCCTATGTGTTCATCTCAAAATGTCAAAACAGATTTAAAGCCCAAATCCTCCTTTTTTATAAGATAAATTGCCTTTCTTGTGTTAGTATAAAGAATAATCAGCTTTTGCTGCAATACTCACCTCATATCCAATGCTGTCCTCAGCAGACCCATTCACCTACCTGCTCTGTGATCCGGCACCAGTTACCATCCAACCCACTTCTCTGAGCCCAGGCTGGCATGGATACATATCCTCGGGGCAAGTTAAAGCTGGAGTTTGTTTAATAGTTTTTTTTTTTTTAATTTCTCATCTTGCCAGATTAATTTGGTATTTGTAGTGGAAGTGGGCTAAAGCTTGTAAATCGGCCCCACAATGCACTGCATATGAATGAGTGGCTATATTTAAAGTAATTTGGAATGTGAAAAAATGATGGGGGTAGGAGTATGTAGGAGTAAACAATGATATAACAACATTATATTAAGCCGTTAAAACCTTAAAAAAATTAGTTTAAAATGATCATCTGCTGCACAGTTAATAGATGTTTTGTATTCCGATGTTTGTTAAAAGCTTAACCATTTATCACAAAGAGTATTTAAAGTACAAATGAACCAGTCATTTGTGCTGCAGCAGCTTCCCTCATACACACTGTGAGGATACACATCACAGTGAAATGGCTCTTGAAAGCAGCCATATTAATAATCCAATAACAGATATTTTGCGGCTCTTTTTTTTTTTTTTTTTTTCTACTCTTCACTCAAAAATAATAAGCTTTAATAATGGTACGTTTTAAAAGAGAGCTTTGCCCGATTTATACTCCAGTTACAATGGATGGCTTTTTGGCTCCATAATAAAATCACAACATTCATTTCCTGCCATTTAAAAGGGAATTAATATTGCAAATGCTTTGTTTTTACAAATGTTATAGCCAAAAAAACCTTAAGAGTACAGGCAAAATGCTGAAAATGGAATGTGCAATTTATATGGCCTTGGGCTGAAAGCTGTTCCTACTTTAAGAGCATTTGCTCCAATTATTTTATCATTTGCTTCAGGCCTTTGTTGTCCTTGGAAAAAAAAAAGTGCCCCTGAATTTTTAATTTATAAAGCATAGTGTGAATAGTAACACAAGTAATATCAGATGCCACATCTTAATCCCAGTACTTTGTAATAAAAAGGTAACGTTGCCTAATGTTCTCATTTGGATAACCTTTTAAAAACCACTTGGTGACATTAATACTGAATAAATGGAGAGACTATTTGCATGTACAGCTCAGAATTACTGATTCAGAGTTCACAGTACAGCACCACTGCCCAGTAGTTTTTTTTTGGTCTAGGTATAGTTGTAGTGCACCAGTCCTACTCAATCTCTTTTATCAGTGATCTGAGAAGTCTTGATACAAGAGATGAGTTCCAGAACAAACCCACTTCATGCTCCTCATTATGTCTTACATACTGAATTGATATAGGAAGTATCTTGTTGCCATCAATCAGTTTCATACATGCCTTAAAAAACTATGTCTGATTGGTGGTACAAGGGGAAGAATAAAAAAAACACATGCTTCAACAAGCACACCCCCACTGACCATGTGAAGTGTTCTTTGGAGTCTGGCTGTAAGAGATTACAACCAGCTCTAACTAGGGTAAATGAATAAACATTCTGTTGTAGTGTTTGTTGGATAAAGAAAACTAGCCACTGATTCGGTTTACATGCTGCCTGGATTTGCTCGTTAAAGAGTATGTAAACCCAACATTTCATATTCCTGATGCACTATATTGCCAAAAGTATTGGGACACTCTTCCGAATCACTGCATTCAGGTGTTCCAATCATGGCTTCCATGGCCAAAGGTGTATACAATCAAGCACCTAGGCATGCAGACTGCTTCTACAAACATTTGTGAAAGAATGAGTCTCTCTCAGGAGTTCAGTGAATTCAAGCGTGGTACCGGGATAGGTTGCCACCTGTGCAATGTCTATCCGTGAAATTTCCTTGCTACAAAATTTTCCGCAGTCAACTGTTAGTGGTAGTAAAACAAAGTGGAAGCAACTGGGAACAACAGCAACTCAGCCATAAAGTGGTAGGCCACATAAAATGACAGAGTGGGGTCAGCACATACTGAAGCACACAGAGCGCAGACGTAGCCAACTGTCTGCAGAGTCAACAGATAAAGACATCCAAATTTCATGTGTCCTTCATATTAGCACAACAGTGCATAGAGAGCTTCATGGAATGAGTTTCCATGGCCAAGCAGCTGCATCCAAGCCTTACATCACCAAGTGCAATGCAAAGCGTCAGATGCAGTGGTGTAAAGCACGCCAAAACTCTAGAGCAGTGGAGACGTGTTCTCTGGAGTGACAAATCACGCTTCTCCGTTTAGCAAATCCTATGGACGTGTCTGGGTTTGGCGATTGCCAGGAGAACTGTACTTGCCTGACTGCATTGTGCCAAGTGTAAAGCTTGGTGGAGGGGGGATCATGGTGTGGGGCTGTTTTTCAATTGGGCTTGGCCCTTGAGTTCCAGTGAAGGGAACTGTGAAGCTGTCAGCATACCAAGACATTTTGAGCAATTTCATGCTCCCAACTTTGTGTGACCAGTTTGGCGATGGTCCCTTCCTGTTTCAACATGACTGCGCACCAGTGCACAAAGCAAGGTCCATAAAGACATGGTTGTGCGAGTTTGGGAGTCCTGAGCTCAACCTGAGAGAACACCTTTGGGATGAACTAGAGCAGAGACTGTGAGCCTTCTCGTCCGAAATCAGTGTCTGACCTCACAAATGCACTTCTGGAAGAATGGTTAAACATTCCCATAGACACTCTCCTAAACCGTGTGGACAGCCTTCCCAGAAGAGTTGAAGCTGTTATAGCTGCAAAGGGTAGGCCAGCTCAATACTGAACCCTACGGACTAAGACTGAGATGCATTTAAAGTTCATGTGCATGTAAAGGCAGGGGTCTCAATTTTTTTTTGCAATATAGTGTATGTACAGTACCTGATGTACCATGTACTTGTATGAAAAAATATCCTATTCACTTTGTACTGCTACCTTTGTGTGAAATCCCTGGTGTTCCTGCCAATCCCTTCTGCTTTCCTATTCAAAACTGACCACACTAAGCAGGAGAGCACACCCTGGTCAGTTCTCTAGCTGTGCTGGGAACTCTGTCTGCTCTCCTCCAATAATCAAAGTTGTTCTGACATGCACAACCCCCCCCCCCCCCCCCCCCCCCCCCCCAGCATAGCTATTCACTGTAAAGATCAGTATACCAGTATTAGCGGTTTCTCCTCCCACAGCTCTTAGGCAGCTGAGAACACATAAAAAAGGGCAAAAAAATGTATATTAATGTTTTTTTCTATGTCCGTAAACAAATGTTTTACCTCTTAGGCATGCGAGTTGTTTTACAAGGTGAGGGTTCACATATACTTTAATCACTTTAATTGGAGGGTATAACCCCTATCACCTTATTTTTTGCCATCTGTGTCCCATTGAGGATATTTCTCTTCACTTCCTTTCCCTTAGCCAAAACTGTGAGAGGAAATCCCTGCAAATTAAGGGAATTTCCTGGGAACACCCGGGTCACCAGAACTAATCCCCATTGGAAAATTTCCTCTCTATTACTCTTCTGGGGACAACCCAAAATTTGGGGTTTTCTTTAAATAGATAGATCGATAGGTAGAGAGGGTGAAACTCCCTAATGGCTGCACAGACCGCAATAACATTCTAATAGGTGCTCTAATACCTTTTTGCTTTGCCTGCATAAAGAAAAAAAGTTCTGCTTTTAATTATACTTATAAATCTTATATTAAAGAATACAAACACCTACATGAAGCTAAACAGCCCTATTCCTCTGCTAATATTGGAAGGCTTTATTCACAGATCTGTATGCTTCCATGCTACCATGTGATACTTTTAGGCACAATAAATACATTGATTGAAACAATAGTATTCAACAGTTAAACCGTGAAGTAGATACAAAATATAGTTGTCTGCATGTTTGCAACTTTAATATTTATTTACTTATATCATGATTAAAATGGTAAGTATTTATTATACGACATGGTTTGCCTGCCCACTTATTTGTATGTCTGCCCATACAGTTTGAAATGCTAAGTCAAAAGGAAAAGCTACTGAATCATCAGCTAAAACAGAATCAGCAGGCACAATCTGTTTCTGGCTATGACTTTTTATAAGGTCCCCATGGAAGGGAAGTAATATTACATTTTAATATGTCTTCATTTGATCGTTATTATGCTGCCTCCCAGGAGACTAAGCTGCTGCATAGATCTTGGCTGATTTTGGCCTATCAAGACAGTAACATTGAGCTAATCAGATAGAAGTGAGCTGGCTGGCTTTCTGCACCGACACATACTTCCACTGTAGGCTGTAAGAAAAAGCAAATGATATATAAAAGCCATCCTTTGCTCTTGTGCTTGGTCCATGCATTGTAGATAACTTCAGATGGAGAATCTGTTTTCTAATTACAGTCTTCCTATAACATAGTCTTCTCTTACATTCTGTTCACGCTTTACGGTAATTTAATCATAGTGGGAGATGAATTACCTGGGAGTTTTAAAGCCTAGTTAAACGAATATTCATTCCTCCAGTCATATCCGTTTGGGCTTTGCAAGAGAGGAAAGCAAGTGTAATAAACATCTCTAGACTCTGTAAAAAAAAAAAAAAAGTCTACTGTGCTCAGTAAAATTGAAAAAAAAAAATACTAAAAGCCTTTGGAATCAAGCATTAATAAGAAGCAATCCTTATTGCAAGCTGTACTTGATCTAATGTCCGCTTCACGGGATTATGAAGCTCACAGCTCTTTTATCAAAGAAAATCCTTTGGTGGCAAGTCCATGCAAGCATGTTCTGGCTGTTCTCATTTGTCTGTCTGACTTTACAATACACATCACTGAATTTTGGGTTTGCTTTTTTCAGTTTTTTTTTCTTTTAATTAGTGACCAATACAGCTCATCCAGCACAGCCTGCTGTACTTGTAATTTTTTTCTTCTACGCATATCACCAGGAAACTTTCACTCCCTACTTGGTAGGAAAAGAGGCATAAAAACTTAAAAGGGTCTATTCAGTCAATGCTCATGTTAGGTTTTGTTAAATGCAGGAGCATTAAAACCACTGATAGTTTTATATCTCTTGAGGCATCTGTGCTGGGATCTCACTTCGTTGTCTGCGCTTTTGTTGCCAGGTTTGAGCACATTCTGCAGCCATTGTTAAGAGGTCCCACTTTACCTCTTGAGCTTATTATATACTATACAGAATCAACTCAGAACATCAGTATTGTAAAATGGGAGTCATGAATTTTGGAAACTTTTGATTATTATTATTCCTAAAAGTTGGTCCATACACTGAACCTATAACTGAAAACCAATTCTGGACAGACAGATGCAATGAAGAGGAACTCCAAAAGAATAGAACTCTCCATTCAGTTAGGTTTTGCCTATTTGCAAAAAACATTTCCAGCCATTGGCCACTTAAAGCACATCAAAGTCAACATTTTTTTTTCTTTTTTCATTTTGGATAGCGTATTGGTGGGTTAAAATGGCTGTTTCTCATTAGGTAGATTTCTTTTACATCATGTCCCATAGACACAACAGAAAATGAGAGAATAGCTTTCCAATATGAAGGAAACCCCTTGTAGACAGTTGTCACAAAACTTAGTCTCCAGATTGGATTGCCCTTCTATTCCTGTTCTAGTGGCAACTCAGAATTTTATTTACGCTAATTTTCAGTACCGGAGACAGTGGTGATCAGGACAAATAGAGAGTTAATCTTCCCAATGGGGACACAGCAAAAACAAAAATAAATATGACAGCAGTTCCAACCCCCACCACTCTATCCAAAGCTTAAAGCCCAACTCCAGACATAACTATTCTTTAAAAATTTCAGTATGGTTAGAAATAGCCAAAATTTCTATTTATTCTCTTTATTGCTGCCATTTAGGAAATTTTTCCCTCACCTTCTGCCGTGGTTGTCAAACATCTAAACAAGCAGATAAGATACATATATGAGGGGCTTTTACCAAATGATCTGCCTTTCTGTCCCATCAATTTAAACAGGCCATCACACAGTACAGTTAAATGAATAACACCACATTCTCTACTAGAGCTAAGGAATATATTAGTATCATCTCTCTACTTTCAGCCTACTGAGCGGATAGTAATGCAGGCCATAGACGATGCAAATTACTTTTCTGCAACCACGGGTTGTAGGAAAGAATTTCACTCGACTTCCCCATCAACACTGACAGCGTTGAAGAGGAATTCCTCCCACTGAGCCAATGCCCCCCCTCCCCACACACATACACACACCACAAGACAGAGATTACTGCTAGCAGCTATAACAGCTGCTAGTGATAATCGCATGTACAATCTGGCAGGCTGGCTGTACCCAAGTTAATCGATCAATCCACTTGTGTACATTCAGCCTGTCCATAAATGGTTCGAATCTTGGCCAGTTCCTGCTGAACTGGCCGAGCTTTGAACCGTCTATGGCCGGCTTAAAGGAACAGCAGAAGACTGATGAGTTAATCTCTCTGCTCACATGGATATCCTTTCCTTTTATCTTGTTCCTTATCAGCATACTTGCATATAGCACACAGAAGACCTGACCCCCTCACTTGTACACTGGATGCTGCTGTACAGGGGCTTGCACAAAGCTGATACCAGCAAACATCCAGGTACATACACTGCTTGCATTAAAATACAATGCATATAGTAATTAGTGACTAAATGGCTTTGTTCATTTACATATTTTATATCTGCGTAATGCTGAGGCTTAAGACACAATTACATTACCACTGTTCCTGACACACTTTCCTCTTTGGACTGGCCAAGTACCTTCCTTAACCTCACCTTTAAAACCTGAAGAAAATGGGCAGAGAAGGAAGGCACTCAACTGACCTCACACACTGCCTTCTCTCTCCTTTCAGTAATCACTGGAGACACGACTACTGTGTGCTCAATTTAAAATTTCAATAGACAGGCAAAGGATGATGAAAATATAAAGTAGAACAATAGGCAAACCTTTTATTTTTTCCATTTTGGATAGAGTAAGGGAGGATTATAAT